GGCTGGTGATTTCCAGTTTAAAAACCTAAAAAGCATGTCAGTAGCCCTTAAACAAAGATGTGTTATATGTAGGTGTGTCTACTAATCTCCATCAGCACTTTGTGTATGGCTTTATGAGTTTGACATTCAAACTCAACCCCAAAGTTGTTATTCAAAATCATTCCATAAGAGTGGTCAGGCTTTGTATGACCCTTCCCCTGAGTTTCATCGGTCACGTTTGAGTAAGAATACAGACGACAAGTTATTTCTGACCTTTGACCCAGAGTGACTCTTCACATCATGATTCATCACAGTTCTGTGACTGTGAGCTTTATGATTTCAGTTTAATAATGAGAAATTACGATAATGCCTACTTGAGGGAAAACTCCTCCCTGAAACACATTAAATATGTTTATTTTGAAATATTTGTGATATGTTTAGTGATTCTGCTAATAATTTTAGTATAATAATAATTATTCCTGTGAGCAGTTAGCCGCTCTGTGGTCACAGCAGGACTCTGCTAGCACAGCTTAACAATCTCAAACATAAGTGATAAGGGTCAGATTTTGCTGTTTGCTACTAAAAAAAAAAGGAGCAAGAACTTCTTTTCTCACTCGCCATTTTCATCTATGTTTAATATCACATTAAAAAGAAATTAACTGTAGTAGTAATAGTATTAGTAGGAGTCGTAGTAGCGTAATCAGCGCAAACACTGGACTCACAGTCCCAGAATATAATGCATCTGCATATCGCAGTTGCATTGAGTTACAGCAGAGATCTTACTCTGCTAGTTAGCAGTCTATGAGATGATAAGTACAATGGTGTTGACAGGGTATTAGCATGAAAGTTTTGGAAGCTGTTTGAGCAGAGTGTACAGATGCTTAGGCGAGAGAGCTGGACAGACTAAAGTGCTGCTGCATCACTCTCTTTAGGTAGAGATTAACAAGGGTTTATGCTGCGTTCAAGGCAAAGTGCCAAACGTGAAAATGATGTTACTACAATTTGCAAATTACGTACAAGGCACCATGAATGCAGCATTAATCCCACTGGCACCTCTAGCAGTGGGTAGATGAACAGCATTGTGGGTAAAGTCAGAACTGAATCAGGAAATAAATAATTTTCACATTTGAAAAACACATATTGATTATAAATATTGCATGTGGTTGAGGGTGGATTTTGTTTTGTTTTAATGTGTGCTAGGTTGTTTCAAGCAGCTGAAGGTCACTGGCTTCTGTTACCTCTGAAGGCTGCCGGTGGCAGCACATCTGGTAGAGAGGGAAAGATCAAAGGCGTGGGAGAGAAAAGTTCAAAGGCTTGTTTCAGTTTAAATCTAGAGGAAACTTCTCAAATCTGTGCGCTCAACTTTTGGAGGGGAAGTTGGTGAGAAGAAAAGATACAATAGGAAGACATACAAAGCTAATTTGCTACATGCTTATGGATAATCTACTACTAAATTATAATCATATGATCATAATGGAGACACACATTAGCTTGGCTGGAGTAGTAGGTGTTCAACTCAATCATCAGGTCAACAAAATTGAAATCAAAGTTGTTTGAATAGTGCTTTTAACAAAACTATTACCATTTACTGCAGTTTTGGTTGCTGCTAGCAATGAACTCCTCTCTGGGTTTTATGTTTAAGATCATACAGTTTTGGCATGAATTACACCTTGACATACAAGTCCTGGAGAAAAGAAATGTGCATGTCTTAGTGCTCACACTATGCACACTTCTGTCTCTCATGTTCGACAGTCACTTCTCCACACTTGTGTATACCATAGTGTGCACACAATTCATAGCACCTTGTGCTCATTTTTAGAGACCACACTCCCCACCCCTGCTCGGCACACTCAGGACAGCCGTCCTCTTGCTCTCTATTGAACATACTGTTTAAACTCCGTAAGATGTTTAATCAAGTTACTTGTATTGCAGAATGATGCCTGGAGTCCATGTTCTTGATATTCTCACAGAGCACAGTTTGCAGTCTGCTTTCATTTAATCATTAATGAAATTAACGAAATATGTACAAATCGCTGTCATGTCCTGTCGACTGTTCATTACCTAGGTAATGTACACAATGCTTATGTCACATAATATCACGTGGTCTCGGATATTAGTATCGGAGCATTTCTTGTATGAATACAAGTACGAGTAAATAAGCACAGTGTTGGACTCATACCCAATACCCGTATTAGTATCATCACAGCTATATATTCTGACTGAAAGGAAGTTAGAGCTTAACATTAACTATGTAGCTCCTGTTTAGTTCACTGTCGTTGTCAATAAAATTGTTGATTCCTTCTCAGACTACTAATTCCTGGTGCAATATTTAATATGTGTAATCTTTAAGCTTCCACACTGTTTATGTTTATTTTAACTGCTGTTATATTTTAACTTGCCTTGCTTGAGAACACTCCGCCAAGCCCCCAGTGTAACCAGTTATTGGTTTCAGATCAACAGCATTTCAGTACTGAAACTAAGTCTTCTGTGCCAGTCGAGGCAACAGTGGAAACACACAGAATGGCTGAAGGTTAGGGAGCATAGTTTATATACAATAACTGTCACCTCATAATATGGATTACCACAAGTTTTGACCAAAACATTAAACTCAAACAAGAAAAACAAGAAAAAAAAAGTGGTTGGCTTGGGGGGTAGGCTGCAATCTGGAGTCAGTCTGGTTTAGTACAGCTGAAACTGATCTAAAAGCAGCGACATACAGACGTTGGGGGAGGAGTGGGTAGTGAGAGTTGGCGGAAAACATGCAGTGCGTTGGTGTGGAATATCTGATAATGGAGCACAATGGGTCCCCGTGTCACCCCAGTCTGATTTGTACACTTTTTCACACACATACTAGTAGCATCCCCATTCATTTAGAACTACACGTGTCATTTCAGGTCAGAACACCACAGTGTGACGCTGCACTGCTTCTCTCATTTCTCTGGCTCAGTTAAACTTGTACAGTTGTACAACAAGGGCAACAAGACTATATAATAATTTGCTGCTAAAAATAAATGTTGTCAATACTTCTTTAATATTAACCATCTTTAGTACTCATGGTGACAAGTAGCTATTGGAAATGAATCAATATATCATTGGTTTTTCTTGTTTTGTTTTGTTTTGTTTTTTCAATGACTATGTGAGCAAACCCAAATAATGTAATAACATGATGTCTCATTAAGATGTGTTCATGACATTGTATGTATATTATCCAGATGTTGTAAGATGTTGTAAAGGGATACTCAGGGTCTGTAATGAGTGCTGACCCTTCATAATAAGAGAAAAGCACCTAGCTACTCTTGTTTAGGGCTTTTTGGTGTCAGTGTGTACCAGCATAATGCTCTCTGACAGCCTGACACACTAAAAATAAGCTGTTTTTTTTTTTTTTTTTTATCCGTGTGTCTGTGTGTGTGTCTGTGTGTGTGTCTTTGTGTCTGTGTCTGTCTGTGTGTGTGTTTGTGTGTGTCCTGGGATGCCCGGTGTCTGCTTTGGAACCAGTGCCATGGGCATCAACCAGCCTGGCATCACTAGTGCACACCCCTGAACAGGAGTAGGGAGGGTGAGGGGGTTGACTATGTCCAGCCTAACAAGAGAGAGAGGGAGGGGGAGAGAAAGAGAGAGAGAGAGAGAGAGAGAGAGAACAGGCTGGAACCGGATTCTGTGACCTGAGAGAGCCAGACAGACAGACAGGCAGAGCTGAGGGGTGCTGATGGAGGAGGATGAGGAGGAGGAAGGTAGAACAGGGTAGAAAAAACAGGATGGAGACTGCTCTTGAAAATAAACACCTTTTTCATAAGAGATATTGCAGCCTGTATTTACAGAAATTAGATCTAGAGTTTGTGCAATATGAAACAGTGACCTGATAAAAGGGCTGTTCTCTTTCATACCTAATGCACTCCTAACCAACTACGCCATTTCTTCTGCCCTCTCCAAACCCTCTGCCAACAAACTCCCACCTCACAGGCTGAAGTGAATATTTTATTATCAGAGATGCTTAAGCCCAGGACTATTTATAGATCAGGTTGCTAATGGTGAATTCATCTCAAGACCACAGGAAAATATGGATGCATAATTAATGCATTATCAGCTGTATTAATTATTCATGAGGGCCTCCTCACCATGGCAGTGTTATAAAATGCACCCAATAGGTATATTTGAGTGTAAGTAAATATACCTTTCTCATTACTGCTGTAATCCATGAAATAACAGTTTTTAAAGTATCTGGTTAAAGTATGTAATTAACTAATTTAGAAAAGACCATTACTGTTAATCTAGATATATATACATACTATACAGTAGATCAATATAGCATTCTCCAAGATCTTTGTGCAGTACATTATGGTAAAGTGACAACATTGCAGTATCAGATAATCAATGTACAAAGCGTAGTGAATTTTAGATATTCTATAGCTAATAGCATTAGCCAGGTTGTCAGGTTTCAGCAAACTTTCCAGCCCTACTACATCTCAAAACACACACAAAAGACTTGAAACTTGCCCCAAATAAATTCACTTATTGGAAGGGGGAGATACATTTTTTCCCCACATCCTTTGTATGAAACAAGGGCACTGTGGTGCACATGCATTTCTGTTGACATTATCTACTCCAAAATCCCCCTTTCCCTCTCCTAATCTTTGCAATATATCTTACAATGATGTATCTGTACATCATAAATGCACTGTGTTCTTTATTAGACTTAATTCTGCATGATTCCTGCCCCAATGGGCCTCTACTAATAATATGTCTTATATGTCAAATAGCAACTTTTTTTTTGTTAAAAATGTTGGTCACTCAAAAGAGGTAATTAGTATTTTAACTGAATTTAAAATTATTGGAGTTGAGGATTTTATGAAGATCACATAACATAACATAACACATTTGTTCAGTGGCTGGTATAAACTTTGAGGTTTGGCCCCTATGGACAAGCCGCCACTGGTTACAGTTCACTTATGGCGCACTTATGCACACAGACAGGTTGAATTAACTATCAACGGTGTTTGGGTATAAAAACAGTGAAATGGTAGGGCAGTGGTAGTTCAGTGGTTAAGACTTTGGACTACTGATCAGAAGATCATTAGTTCAATCCCCAGCACTACCAAGCTACCACTGTTGGGCCCTTGAGCAAGGCCCTTAACCTTCAGTTGTATAAAATGATATTAATGTAAGTTGCTCTGGATAAGGGCGTCTGCCAAATGCCATAAATGTACTGTGGAAAAAAAGCTCTGACCCAGTGAATATGGACTCCACAAGACCTCTGAAGGTGTGCTGTGATATCTGGCACCAAGATGTTAGCATATCCCGTAAGTTGCAAGGTGGGGCCTTCATGGATCAGACTTGCTTGTCTAGCACATCTGACAGATACTTGACTGGATTGAGATCTAGGAAATTTGTAGGCCAAGTCAACACCTTGAACTCTTTGTCATTTTCCTCAAAACATTCCTGAACAATTTTTTCAGTATGGCAGGGCACATTATCCTGCTGAAAGAGACCAGTGTGATTAGGGAACACCGTTGCCATGAAGGGGTGTACTTATGTAAGTGGTATGTGTAAAAGTAACATTCACATGAATGCCAAGACCCAAAGTTTCCCAGCAGAACATTGCCCAGAGCATCACACTGCCTCCGCCGGCTTGCCTTCTTCCCGTAGTGCATCCTGGTGCCATCTCTTCCCCAGGTAAGCGATGCACAAGCACCCGGCCATCCTCATGATGTAAAGGAAAACATGGTTCATCAGACCAGGCCACTTTCTTCCATTGCTCCATGGTCCAGTTCTGATGCTCACGTGCCTATTTTAGGCACTTTTGGCAGTGGACAGGGGTCAGCATGGGCACTCTGACCAATCTGTGGCTACGCAGCCCCATCGCAAGCTGCAATGCACTGTGTGTTCTGACACCTTTCTATCATAGTCGACATTATCTTTCTCAGCAATTTGTGCTGCAGTAGCTGCTCTGTGGGATCAGACCAGACGGGCTAGTCTTCACTCCCCACACGCATCAGTGAGCCTTGGGCGCCCATGACCCTGTCGCCGGTTCACTGGTTGTCCTTCCTTGGACCACTTTTGGTAGGTACTAACCACTGCATACCGGGAACACCCCATAAGTCCTGCTGTTTTGGAGATGCTATCGTCTAGCCATCACTATTTGGCCCTTGTCAGAGTCACTCAGTTCCTTACGCGTACCCATACCCAAGTTATTCACTTCACCTGTCAGTGGTTTTAATGTTATGGCTGTTATGTGAATTTCCATCATGGATGCATTGTACATGATTGTCAGCATTAACAAAACAACACTGCTTTTTTTTCTTTTCTTTTCTTTCTTTGTTTTTTTCCACACAAAAACACTAAAAGAATTTATTACCACTTTTCAGAAATGGGAATCAGCTAAAAGAGTTGACTCATTCGTGAACGACTCATCACCAGCATGCAGGCATCAGTGAGGTCTGAACCAGCTGCTTACATAGACACTATTATAGCTCAGCTCCTTATCCATCTATCTATCTGTCTATCTATCTGTCATGTTCTTGTGGGTCTCATGCATCAACATATCACATACTTTAATCCAAACTCCTGTCGAACAGTAAATCTGCTTAGCTTCTCTCTGAGGCAACTGTGAACTTTATTAAGTAATTATTGTCAAGTGCTCAAAACACTACGCTATAGTCTGATTGATTTATTTAATCTAATTCATTTAATGTCACCAATATCATGGTCTCATACCTCAAATAAACTCTGTACTATACTGTAATATCTGGAATAAAGCGCCTAATTATGGGCAGGAAAATAGGCCAAAACAGGATGTCTCCGGTACACCGTGTATTTTTCTTTCCCCCTCTCACTGCGACATACTGGCCAGTTTTTGGCAAGCTAATGCATGCGGGACACTGCAGTTTTAAAGGAAAGCCGATGGTGCTTTGTGGGTATCGCTGTTCTCTTTAGTGGCTGCTTCTGCTGCTGCGTGGATGTATTTGCTGGAAAGCTGCTTGCTCGGCTGTAAATGCTGCAGCGCTGCGACACCGGAGCCGAGCCGTGCTGTGCGCGCGCCCCCGCGAGCCCACTCAGAGAGGAGCGCTCGCATCATGTGTTGCCAAATTGCGAGCTTTTCACCCCAGAGAGGCAGAGCTTGGTATGATTTCCCTGTTTTGTTTAGTTTTTTAAACTGTTGCATGTCTTACACGTGGATTTTGAGCAATTTGGGGGCAAAACAATATCTAACAAGCCAAAAATATCTGACATCAACATGTATCCTATTAATCTATGAACTATCAGAGGATGTTTTTTGAACCCATCCTTAAGCTCTGTTTACACTAAAACCCGTTTCTCTTCACTGGAACTAAGGCGGGTGTGGGGGTGTGGGGGTGTGAGAGTGGTGTGTGAGAGTGTATGCGCACGATTGTGCCCTGCAATGGGTTGGCACCCCGTCCATGGTGTCAACCCGCCTTATGCCCTGAGTCCCCTGAGATAGACTCCAGGCTCCCCGCGACCTTGTGTAGGAAAAGCGGTACAGAAAATGGATGTATGGAACTAAGGGGCTCAAGCCTGTTTCAGTATGACAATGTCTGTGTGCACAAAGTGAGCTCCATGAAGACATGGTTTGCCAAACTTGGAGTGGACCTCATTTGTCCTGCACAGAGCCCTGACCTCAACCCCACTGAACACCTCCTCGTCTGTCATCTCTGCCTGACCTCACTAATGCTCTTGAGGCTGAATGATCACAAATCCCCACAGCCATGCTCCAAAGACTTTCCAGAAGAGTGGAGATTAATATAACAGCAAAGGGGAACTAAATCTGCAATCGGATGTTTAAACAAGCACATGTGGGTCTGATAGATGTCCACAAACCTTTGGCCATATAGTGTATTTTAAATGGCAAACTGGTGACAGAATTGCCACAAAAGTAGACTTGAGGTGAAAAAAAAAAACCAGCTGGTGTGAAAGTACATATTTATTTATTCCAAAAAGTCTTTAATTTCTTCTCTGTATACTGTAATATCTTCAGCAGCATCCCATCCATCTGCAATATTAAGTATTTTAGCATCAGTTCTTGCAAAACTTCATTGCATACTTTGACCCTGAGAGCAGTCATGCTGAATGGGTCCATTTTACACTTCTGGGTTCTGGAAGCAGCTTTTGTGCAGGATAACTTTATTTCCACTACAAAAACTACAATGGCCAAGTTGAAAACCATTTATGAGAAATGTTGTAGGAAAACTGTGAACTGCACAGTTGAAAACATCCTGAAATATCCACCTAAGTAGTTTAGAGGGCAAATAAACTGCAACCGCAGTGAGAAGTAAAAGTTTGCTATATGAACGAAGTTTCATCTCAGGTTTGTGTGGCTGTTCATTCCTCTTCATCTAGCTCTGACTACCACCTTGCTGTTGACTGCATTTGACATTTGGCTATTGACAGTGAACAAACAGAAACACTTATTCACGTTTCAAGTGTTAACTCTCAATTAACTAGAAATACAGCTAGCTAATGTTAGCGAAATGATGCTATCAGTGATAAAAGTTTTACTATCTTTTTCACTTTTCCACAATTTTATGATTTTGTAAAGCCATTAATGGAAATGAGCTGAAAAGTGTTAAATATGAAATAATGCATGCATAATGTCTACATATCTAGCTACTCATCATCAGTGCTAACATCAGTTAGTGTTACCATACCCTGATAGCTGTGAATGAATTCTTCCACAAAGAGGTTATATCATTTAAATCCTCTTGGAATCATTCATTGATGAGCGTTCACCAGCGATTCTGGACACACTTTTGAAGTTTAGTCTTGGGAGTGTTGATGAAAGATGCAGTGAAAAATATTTCCATTGAGAGCTTCAGTGATAAAATGTCAGCTGTAAGGCTTACCAGAAACTTCTTTACTCTGTGTATACAAACTTCTGTTTTGAGAAAAGGACCCATTAGGCATGAACAAGCTAATCAAGTTGATGCTGAATGCTGTAGATCCCACCCTCTGCAATCTGATAGATGAACGTGACAGTTTAAATTTCAAGGTGTCCGTCACTTTTGTGATTTCTTACTTTCTCTATGTAGCAATAAAAATGAACTTGTATATGCTATGATTTGGGTTTGGGGTCATTCAAAAGGTGAGCCGCAGATGAACAATGTGTGCTGTAATAACAGAACTATTCCAGGAAAACCACACTGTCATATGTCAATACTGTACTTCATGAGTCAACATTCTTCTCATTAACATGCATGGATAAATAAGACACTGAAAGACAGCTCTCATGTTTGTGTTCAATGCTGTTTAATTTTGTTTTAGATACATTTAACTTTATAAATGAAAACTGTTTACAAATGACAAAAAAGTGGCATCAGGACATTACAGTTATTAATATTCTAAATGGATAACCTTTGCAGCTACATTCAGTGAGCCACTGCTTATTGACTCTCCCAGCTCTGCAGCTCAGTATAATCTGTAGTAAACCCAGCTACACACCAACATGACTATCAGGGAACTGACTGCTAAACTAATGTGTGCTACATTTATCATGCCTTTTCTTATCAATAAGTATAGATACTCAGAACACTACCCTTCCTACACACATTTATACATTTGTATTATAAAATTTCTTGAAAGGTATTTCTTATCTCTATTACAGATTTCTACATGAAAATACATCTATCTGCTGCATGTCTAATATTATTCAGCTGTATGTATCGTTATTTATTAAAAATGTAATACTAGAAGCCTTAATAGTGTGACATAGAATAGGAGTAATTCTAAATATTGTGCAAATAATATTCTACACGTTTAAGTGTGAACTATAATATAAAAATGAAGAAATCAAGCATCAACATTACATATATAACCACAACATTTATTATAGAAACACAGAAATGTATGATAAAGCGTTATATACTGATCAGGATAGTATTGGCTCATACAAATCTGTAACTTTACCATGCCAGTCTTGTATTCTGTAAGAAGTTTGTAAGAAAATGTTGCATTTGGCTAGTGTTCATGTTTGTATATGAATAAGTACACAATAAGATGGTGTCATGGGCTGAAAGCTCTACGGCAACGCTGTGACGGCGATCGGAGGCTCAGTGTTCAGTTTAAGGTGCTGATGGGCATGCAGTC